TATAATTTTTTTTAAATCTGAACAGAAAAATAGACTACTCTGGAATGCATGAAAGTCATATGACTTTTCCATACATCAGATAATTATAAAGCCAACACAATGGCAAACAGAAGGTACAGAGGTAACTAGAACTTCTGTACTTTATTCAAGAACTATTTAAAGCCATATTCTCCCCAGGTGGGTGATCCTAAAGCAACCTAAGGTAACACTTCTTCGGTCTGATTACCGTAAGCAAAATGACTGACCAAACAGGAAGAAGTTGGAGCTAATTTGGAGTTGCTGGGGAAGCCCACCTCCCCATCTCGGTCCCGTCTGAGCTGCCCAGGGGAACGCCAGGGCCATACGCTCTCCATCGCTCAGCTACGTTACACAGTAATTCTACTATTCACATTAAAATGAGGTGTTAGAAACTACTGGAAATCATGGTATGTGGAGCTTACTAACAGAGAGAGAACTTGGCTTTAGAAACCTTGTCTTTGCAATGAATTTTAAATACCCTTGTTATTTACTATAAACTGTACCAGTCATAATTCTGTCAAGACATAAATATACAATAGATACAAATATTAACAATACATTACAATTTTACAGAACAGAGTACTGTTTTCCTTAGAAATGTGTATCTTATTAGCTGCAAGGGAAGAAAAGGCTACAGTTTATCACAGCCATAGTTGCCAAAGAAACCGTCGGTCTCAGATGTGTTTCTGTGTGACTGACACAGACAGATATTCCCCGGCAATAGACACACGGCATGTTTGGGAAGGGAATGTGCGTTCCGCGGGTTTCCTTTTCCTCTTTTTCTTTTTTTATTTTCTCCTTCTTCTACCTTTATTGGCTCTTGAACCTTTCAGGAAAATGTGGATTTCACAGGAGATTGCTTTGTTTCATTTTTTGTTGTTTTTTTTATTGTTGTTTGTTTTTTTTCTGTAAGTGTGCTTAGGTGAAGTTTCTAAGAAAAGGCACTGAGAAATCTACTGCAATGTGACTGCTGTTTTCCTGTGTTCAAGGCTAAAACTCAAAGGATCTTTGCCTCCTGGTTAAGAAAACTGCACCCATTCCTTCCGCATATATATATTATATATTATATATATATTTTATATATGTATTAAAAAAAGGTCAATGGCATAAGATACAAGCAAGCACAGACATCACATTTACATAGTCCTTTCAGATATGATGTCTTTTGCAGCAGCAGGTGAAACTCTGTCACCTTGCTTGATACATGATGCACAGTAAATTCACAGTCCTGGATGCCAAACACCGGTGATTAAACTGCACGCTCGATGCAAGAGTTACTGCATATTTTCCCCAACTGTTAAGAGCATTGGGAAACATGTATCAAACAAACTATAAAATGAAAATGTCTCGCTAGTGTCTATAGGATTTGGTGAGCATTATGTTTTCAAAGCACTGCCTTTCCTTTTGTAATGAGTACAGATTTAGTCTACCATAGCTTTATGTTAGAGTAGATTTCCCAGTGCTTACATTATATATATGTGTATTATGCACACACACACATATATAGATACATACTTCATATTCAGACTTTATTTCATTAAAATAAGTTAAACATGCTTCCTTTTAACTGGGCACAAAATGAGAGCTACATCTTCATACACAAATAAAGAAATGCTCTTCAAGCATATTATATGCTTAATTTAAAATTATTTGCTTTCTATAAGAAATCTATAGGACTTTGGCTATTCAGACTTAAAAGGTAGATTTTTAATGATACTTTTGAATTTGGCTTCCAAAAGTGACTCAATAAAATGCTACTTTAAAGGTAGGACTAAATAGATGATATACGGTGTGTGTCGTAAGTGATCACACAAGGCAGACAGAGGGCCTTTGGTTACAAGGAGAGTTGCACCAGTTGATTATCAGTTAAAAAATGATAGAGTTGTTGATCTATACATTTTCGTCAGTGCCATCTATAAACCAAATACATCAATTTGGATGAGAGTGTGGTAAATACTACACTATATGGCTATATTTAAATATGTTCACTTTCGTGATATGTAAAATATGACTTTTTTTTCCACATGAAAGCATCAGCTCTAAAAATATTTAACTTGGAAATCACTATTACTTACTTTATCAAAAAAATGTCCCTGATTTTTTCTTCTTTTTACATTTGTGCTGATGGCAGAGATGAATGATCACTGAAACATAGAGATTAAGTTAAGACTGTTCACTTTAAAATTTCTTGTTGCTGCTCTGTGGCCTCAGAAAGCCACAGAATAAATCTGTATTTAAAGCTTATCTGCTGGAAAGTCACTTTACCTTTTTGTGACGACTCAATCTTAACTAATATCTCAGCAATACATCAGTTCCTCTAAGTACACTTGTATTTACTATGGCCAAATCCTAAAGTCCTTCACCAGGCAGAGCCCACTCAGTGGAATGGTGGTTTTGGCTGAGTGAAGGCAGAGTAAATGCTAACGAACCTCAGGAATTTGCCCCGTGTAAATACTCTGGAGAGTACCGCTTGCAGGCTTAGGTGCCTTGAACTTATTTTGCGTACCTCCTGCGTCACTCTTTCATGGCACGAGCTCTCTTTCACTGCCAGCAGGCTAATTCGTGAGGTGGTGGCTCAGGTCTTACTCGTGTCTTCCCCAGGGTCTTGCCTTGCTGGGACGCAAGGCCGACTTCTGAGCGGGTACCTAGGGCTATATCCCACCACCTGGGATGGGGTCAGCTGAGCAGAGCAAACTCCAATGTGTGTACAGTTTTGTGCCAAGGAGAGACCTAACAAAGCTATCATTGTAACCCATAATAGTTCCTAAAACATATATGTGCTTATTGCTTTTGTCCGTACATGCTGCATTCACTATTATGGATTACAGACAGAAGTACTGTACAGCTTGGACGGACAGACATTTACATTCAGGACTAACCAACGGCAGTTTTTACAATAAGAAGGAACAAAATGCAGTGGACTCGAGTTGCTCGGGGTCTTCCTCCCACCCGTGAGCCTCCACTCCCACATCCCAAGTCTCAGCACATCCCGGACCTGCACCACGCAGGTCGCCCCACACTCCGGTAGGTACTCAAAAATAGGTCAGGAAACGGTCATTGACAGAGTTATTTACAATTGAGTTTTACAGTAGAAACAGAGAACAACACAAAAGATTACCATCACAGTTATGACAGGACAGGTTGTGACTTGCTACAGGCGTGTAACAAATCACAGTCATGACAGGAGGCACAAATTAAAATAGTGCTTGGTTAAAGTGCTTGATTGTTACACTCTGCTATCCTACTCCAGCATCGCAACAACAACAACAAAAAGTCAACGTAAAGTGCTTTTCCCCCCGGAGATTAAAAACCAAAGACAAATTATTTCCTACACAATTTGACATAACTTTATTGAAACAATAATATTTTAAAAACCTAGGCTGGTGGCTGCTAGTTCTATTCATTTAAAATGGTCAGATCCCTTTTTTTTCTTTTTTTTTTTCTTGTTTCATTTAAAAATGATTGGATGTTATTAAAACATCAGGCCTGATTCTCCTGTCTCTCGCAGCTGCTTCGTGCCACAGCCTCACAGGAGCCTCTCCTGCCAGACTTCCTTGCAAGAGAGAGCACAGCCAGGCCCGGGGTAGGTCACTAATGAATCCCTCTTTTTGCATATTTATGTAACACTTGCATATCTTTCACCACGCCACTCGGGCGCAAAAAGCTTCAGACCGACTGGTTCCTCTCCTACGCCAAGAGCGAGACTTTGGCCGACGCCTCAAGTCGGCATTTGGGCAGGAAGGGGAGGCCTAGAGAGCCATCCCGGTGCCCTCAGAATGTATTACAGGGCCCAGCATCAGCGTCGGTGCTGACGCCGCACTCGGCTGTCCCCACAAGACAGGGCAGCCAGTGTCTCCCTTCCGCAGAGAGGCTTGGCGAGAGCTGAGCTCTCTGTCCAGCCCTACGCTCCCCAGCTCTGGGAAGGGGGCCTGGCTGCAGTGCCTCTGGAGATTCCTGCTTCTGCATGGCTCTTTCACACCTTCCCAGCGTGGGTCCCCTGAGGGCCACGCGCTGGCCCTGGGGCAGGTATCAATTTTTTAGCAGAGGGTAAGTGCAAGTTTCACTATGCCCTAGGGGATGTTTGGAATTAGATACAAGTGGTGCAACTCACCCTGCTGATATTTCAAAAGAATACATCAGGTCCTACAGGATACCATATTGTTATGCACACAGAGAGCATTTTAGTAATTGGTTTCTCTAGTTTTAATTGGTTTTCACTTGGATTTTCCAATAGTGTTCCCTGTTACCTTTAGACATAATATCCTTCAGAAAAAGCTATAGATGGGGAACAGCTGCCCCGAAGCAGTGAGCATTATGTTTTTGACAGCTTTATACCAACCCCAGCAATTTATTCCAGAGTTCAAATCTGGCTGCCTTGGCATCCTTTATGGAACTAATGCAAATCAGATGTTAATATTTCCAAAAAGAGCTCTAGTGTTCAAGGGGAATGGATGGATATTTGGTCACATTGGCTTCACTGGACAACATGAAAAGAGATCAATGTGTGATCATGATCTGCAATCCTTATTTTTGACTGATGTGGGCAATGTCTTTAGAGTTGTTTCAGAGAAGGACATTTCACAAACCCACACTGGACCTCCCCTAGACTTTTAGAAACAGGTGGCTTGTTTCAGCCAAGTTCATGCCATGCAGAAGCTCTTTTGTTTGTGTTGACTGTAAAGACATTCCTTTAAATTTTCAGTAAGTTCTTTTGAAGCCCACCTCAGATGCTTTGATCATGTGTGTTAGCATGTCCTCCACTGCCTGGTAATACATGGACTTCTGGGGAAATGTGATTTTCTAGTCTGACAGTCTCCTGATTGCTCTGGGTTCTTCCAGTGATACCTTCCATAGAGTAAATGCAGTTTTGCCCTATCAGCTTTGGGGAGGTGGGTAAAGCAGCAGCTTCTAGATGGTTCTTCTCTGTTCTATAAACAATGTCCTTTTGCTTTAGATAACCACTATTTGTAACATTGTACTTGGGACTCACATTTCCGGGTGGACTTGAATCGTAAAGCAGCTGACCTTCGTCATCAGTGTCAGCATCTATATATTTGTGTATACCAGCATCGTGGAAGTTGAAAGCTATGGATGTCTGCATCTCTGGTGACTTTGGGGGTGTTCTTGCGCTTGCAGTTGTGTAGATTGAGGTTTCTGGGCTCATGAGAGATCTGTCAGAGAGTAAGGAAGTATCTGTGGCAGCAGCAGCAGCTCCTCGGCTCTTGAGAGGGTCTGGATATATTCTCAGTACATTTGATGCTGGTACTAATGTGCTGGTGTCCTCTTCCATGAAGTTGACTTTCAGAGATCTTAGTTTTAAAGGGTTACTGGCCTTTATGGAGCTTTTGGGACTTTCTATGAAAAAAGCAGAATGGTGGGTGCCTTCAGAGCTTGGGTTCATTTCCACATATCTAGCACCACTCCCCTCTGGCCTGCTCTGCTCCTGAATCACGTTAATGCCACCTTTGCAGGGAAGGGTGGTGAGCGGGCTGTGGGAAAACCTCCCAGAGTCAGGGAACTCTGCCGCACAACTTATGAAGCTGTCGATGCTGGACATGCTCCTCATGTCAATGATCCCATCAGTGCGAGTTGTCAGCAAGGGCACCATAGGGCCAGGAAGGGTCTCCATTTCTAACTCTTCCTTTTGCTTTCCAGGTTGACTTGACTCTTTAGTATTAAGGTTTGGCTGGGACTGAGTCTTTGCCATTTTGTTATACATGTCCTCTAGCTGCTGGACATTCAGGTGCTGGGGACTTGAAGACGACCTGGCTTTTTCTGGAGATCCTTGTTCCTTAGTTTCAAAAGATTTACTAGAGCTAGTTTCAGAGAGTGTTCTCTTGGTCCATTTCCATTTGCTGGGAGATAAATGATTATCCTGAACTTTATCCTTTTTGGATATGCTTTCTCCATTCTTTTCAACCACAATGTCCATAAGTTCTATACTACGTGCAAACGCATCCTTCATGTTCATGGAAACAATGCTGCCGTTCCTTTTTGCTCTTTCAAGAGCTTCCCTACGCTTAATGGCTTTCTCCTGCCTCTTCTGCTCTTTGTAGAACTCAGAGAAGTTATTGACAATAATTGGGATGGGAAGAGCAATCACCAGTACTCCAGCAATGCAGCACAGTCCTCCTACTATTTTACCTAAAAGCGTTTTGGGGTAGATGTCTCCATAGCCTACTGTTGTCATGGTGATTGTTGCCCACCAGAAAGAAGCTGGGATGCTCTTGAATTTTGTATCATCCTCATCCTTTTCTGCAAAAAACACTAAACTGGAAAAGATCATAATGCCCATGGCCAAAAACAAGATGAGTAATCCCAGCTCATTGTAACTCCTCCTCAGTGTAAACCCCAAAGACTGTAAACCCGTTGAGTGCCGGGCAAGCTTTAGAATCCGGAGTATCCTCATAATCCGAAATATTTGGACCACTCGTCGTACATTTTGGAACTGAAGTACACTTTTATTGGATTCTGTGAGGAAGATAGTGACATAGTACGGTAAGATAGCTAGCAAATCAATTGCGTTCAGCGGGCCTTTGAAAAACTTCCATTTCTTAGGCGAGGATAGGAACCGCAAGAGGTATTCCATTGTAAACCATGCAATGCACACTGCTTCCACGTGGGCAAGTTGGGGATTATCTGTGGTCTGCCCAAATTCATCCATGCCTTGTAGTTCAGGAAGTGTGTTAAGGGACAAGGCAATTGTAGATAGTACAATAAACATGATGGAAATGATTGCCAAAATCTAGAAAGGAAAGAGAAAACAGTGAGTTCATCTCAAAACATATTACACTATCTATCATTGCCATTAACGCATGGCTGTATTTCTACTTACACATTTCAAGCCTAATTTTCTTCTTTGTACACAGAAGTCAGATAACCAATGCATCCTGAGATGATTTTATTTTGGAAGCTGCTTTAATTATGTCAGATGCATAAAGGAGATAAAGCATCTAATTCAGCTCCCATGCCTTCATCTCTGTGTAGTCAAGGAATGCGTACCAAGCAGCTTGGATGCCAAGAGGGCTGTGAAGCGGTTCACAGCAGGAGCTTTTGATTAACTACTAATTAGGTGCCCAACAAAGCCCATCTGGGCAACAGGCTCTGAAATCTGAGCAAGATTGAGTGCGATTGTGAATGCAAGATTCGATCAGAGCAATGTCCTCCATTTAACGCACAGTTACATCGGTAATTTCAGGTGCCTATGGCTAATTACAGAGATGTGTGTACTATTCTACTACACAGAACCATATAAGTAATATGCTCTTTTTTAATGACTCATCTCTAATTTGAAACTTGATGCTTGTGAAATACATGAAAACTTTACCAAGCTTTCTAAAACCTTTTGAGCTTTGAGTTACTCTGTACGTGACTGATCAGTCATCCTAGCTTCTCATTGCAACCAGGAGAGAGAGCAAACCCATCCAGGAAAACCAAACTGCACAACACTGAGACAGCCAAGACAGGGCAGGTCCAAACACTGCAACGTCATCATCAGAAGCAGCTCTTAGGCTAAAGAGTGCAATGAGAAGAAAAAGGTCTGTTATTGAGCAGCCTCTCTAAAAACCTACATAAATCTGATCAGATCTTGGGCCACCAACTCTATGCAGAGCTGGAAAGCACGGAGTGCTAGATTAGTGTATTTGCAGCTTTCAGCTGGTGTAGGCAGGCTGACCTTCCATACCTGTTTTATATAGACATCATTGCTATACTTTCCAGTTTCCCTAATTATATTTTCTTTTAAAGTAATTTTAGGGAGGTTTTGGAGCTGACAGACAATTTAAGTAGTGTTTTTTTTCTAGTAGTGAATTCTTTATCAAGTTTTTTAATTTGATAGGAGTATATCTAGTTTCTTAGGTTACTGCCAAAATACAGCAATGATTTCAAAACACATGTATATGTGACTTATGTTTTATGTATTCATTTCAGTGTAAGCTGGTCCCTTATGCTTGCCTTTCTCCTACTTGGTAGAAAAGCAGCATAAAATCAATTGCAACGTATATGCATGATGACTAGATACACAATATTAAGCCATGAATTATAAAATGTATGACGAGAGTTCTGGATCATGAATTTCAAATCTGACTCACTCCTTCCTTGCCCATATAACTAGATTTTAGGTTTCCTCACAGTGACCTTTCTCAGCCAGCCTCGCAACACCAGAATATCTACAGTTACCACCTGGGTCACTGGAGAAAGAAATTCTTGCAGGATTTCTCTTCAGCCAGCACAGACATCCTAATAGTGAGGAAATATCAGACTTCTAAACATTTATCCCTAAACTAACAGTCACTGCAGTGGAATGAATCTTGCTGCTGTAGGAGAAACATGCAGCTCCAATACGGTTCAGAAACACTATGGTCTTCTCAAGAAGAGCCTCAGCTCTTCTACAGAGTTAAAAGGCAGAAATGGTCTACAAAGGCTGGAAGCTTTACTTGAATTAAATTCATATAGCTTAAGCATAAGCTATGGCTTTAGAGTAAAAGCCCATATACCTTCATAAAATCCAAATGTAAAAAAGTTAAAAAGTGTTTTAAAATCCACTTGCTGTTAAGAAAATCCCTTCAAAATCAATGTAATAAAATCATTTACCTTTTAACTTACTAAAACGTACTATATAACTTTGATTTGTAAATGACACTGCAGACCAGGTAATTTAATCTGAAGAATGTGATTTGGCTAGAAACAAAAATTAGCTCCATTAAACACTCTGGTTCATTGTCTAAATTGGATTAAATGGAAGAAGTGAATGGTGTAAATGGCCTTCTATGCAACGCTTTAGTACTGGGAATTTAGAATGGCCTCACTTTCAGTTACTAAATTGTTAATAAGATTCCTTTTCCTTTTTAAACAAGTTTAAAGAGTGTTTGTTGTGAGCTGGGCTGTGCACCCTCCCAGTGCTAGCAAACCTTCTGCCTCCTCCTCACTACCTTCTTCTTCCATAAGTTTGCTGCTGAAATATGAATGATCTCACAGCAACTTGTGACATGGAGGATTTGCCTTGTTGAGAAACAGATGAGCCAAAGAAGCTATGGAGGGATGCAAAAAAGTACGAAGAACCATGGGATGAAGAGATGCAGAAAGGGACATGGGAAAAAGTGCATGAACTGACAGCTTCAGATTCAAGAGACTAAAATGTAAGTCAAGTGTCTCATGGCAAAGTGGGGAGAAATTTAGATGCTAACTACTTCTGCATGGTTGTTTGTTTCAAAAGACCATCTCCTGAAGACCAGGTAATAACCCCGAGAAGCAGGGAGCCTGATTTGCTTTCCTAGAAGGCTCTTTTAGTGTTTTTGCTGTCATTTCTTTGTTTACAACCCAACATTTCTGAATGTGTTTGGGATGTTTTCAATGGTAATTTCAAATTTTTTGCTTGGTTTTATCTCTGACCACTATGCACAGAAGAGCTTATTTGCAGACGTAGATGTACCTAGTGTGTTTTATCTCTTTCAATTTCAGTGTAAATATTAACACTCCATCTTTATTTGATGGATGGCATCCAGCAGCAGTAATTGGTGTCAAACCTTCTGTTTCCTTTGATATACCTTCTTGCTTTGAAGATCAAGGCAATGCCAGATGAACATAAATTTGAAAACTAGGAGAACTGAGGGTAGAATTTGTTTTTGGTTTAGCAGATATAGCCACAGAGCTAAGCAATAAACAGAGACATTTGTCATTTCTCCCTCAAGTTGCACCAAGATGACACCTGTGCTCCTAAGATACAGATTTTCCCCTTGCTGATCTACTGCAATCATACATCTTTGGGAATCTTGTCAGGCTCAGAAAAACTTCTAAATATGGGTTGACTGTCCTCAGGTATTCAAAGCTCTTTTCAGTTGGAAAGCATAAAAACCTGGGAGATGAAACTTCTCCAGCATGGTTTAGAGGATCCTTCTCCTTCTCTAAAGCATACCTCATCCTGGTAACATTCACCACCCAACAAAAACCACCCAAGGAGCATTTGTTCACACAAAATTGGATGCAGCTGCTGCTACTGTAAGGCATTAGCAGTGCACTCAGTGGCACAGGACTATATCCCAGTGTATTAACAGTCTGAGATTTCACATTATAGAAATCACTATCTGTTTAATAAGGTATCCACACCAGAGCATCATAGACGCTCCTTAATCCACTCATAAAGCTAACATGGTTTAAGTTTTATTTTTTTTCCCTGCACAAGTTTCTGCCAACAGATTGCATAAGAGAAGCTGTGTAGTTCCCTTTCTCTTTGCTTCTGTATTTACTCTCACTTTTCACCTGTAGCAACACACCCTAAATGGTGAAGTTCCCCATCAGAGACTTTTCTAAGTGACTTGAAAGGGGTGTTGGGTGGGCTCCTAATGCCAGCACTGGCTTGTTGTGCAAGTCAGAGTATATTTGGGCAGGATTCCAGAAAAAAACCTTCTTCACTAAATTGACTGTTTCACAAAGATTTTTTTCTTGAGCAAATCTCTGGATTGCTGCTACAGTTCCTTTGTGAAAGGCAGGGCAAGGTTTTGAATGAATTTAAAGCAGTTGCCTCAAAGTGATAGCATGACATGCTGGTTATTACACATGCAAACAAGATGACCAAGCTAACTGTGTGAGTAAGTTTAGCCACTCTGTGTCCAACTGCTGCTTCCTGAGGCAGGATGGATGTGCCATGCTTGCAAACCATTAATCTGCACCTTCTCCAAAATTCCCCTCCCCAAAACTAGGCAAGCAAGCTCTATTACACACCCTTCAGGAGCTATCCACCTGCACTGGGCCTGATCCTGTTTGCTTGTGTTGGCCAGGTCTGTGCTCATCCCTGGGGAGAAAAGGGCTCCTGCAAAGAAGTCAGTCTGTTCAGCAATTTCCCATCTCTCTCTTGAGCATCTGGAAGCAGCAGTCTGTGGGCAGCAAAACTACACATGCCACCCCAAAGACAGCACAGGGCAGGGTAAGTTTTACGCTGTAGGGACTAAACCAACATCTAGGTTTGGTGATATTTATTGCTTGATTATCTGTTCTTTGCACTGCTAAAGACCCTAAGGTCAAGGCATAGGACTGGACACTTTCAAGGCCATTAAAATTAATGAGAATTGGCTGTCCAAGTCCCATAGATGGCTCTCAAATCTCAGTGTAGGCATCTGAGATCTATCTGCTCATGGCAATATGCCCTATACTTTTTCTGTCTTTGTACCCAGTAATGAAGCTGATATAGCAAGGAGAAGGGGTGGTGTGTGGGAGAGAGTAGGAGGGTGTTTGAATATAGATTCAATATTCTTGGAAATACGATGAGGAAATTGTTATGTAATCAAGAAGTTCAATAATGGTTTTGTCTAATGTGCTTTTTTAGCTCCATCCTGCAGAATAAACTTGGCATCAGGACCAGGTTTCATTCATATGCTTCATTTACTAAGGGATTATTTTCTGCAGCCCCCCTGCTTCCCCAAGCAAACAATGTACTTTGAGTCAGACTGTCCAGCTCCATCCTGCCATGCCTATGCCAGCCTCTGTCTCCCCAGGCTCTAAGAAACCAAGAACATGGTGTATTTTGGGTGATATCCCACGTGCTGCACAGTGGAGAAACAGATGGAGAGTTCCTCAATCCCCTCCCCACTTCATTCTGAGCAGGAATAACATATCCTGCTCACGGCAGCTATGCATGCTTATTTATTGACAGAGACTTGTCTTAGGAAACATCTCTTTGCTAGAAAATGTCTATTTATTTGTGAACTGAAAGAGTTCTCAGAACATGGTCACTTCTGATGCCATGATTCT